AACCAATACAGACTGTAAGCATCTCATACTGTCCTTGTTTTTGTAAAATTTACTTAACACCTGGTCATCTATAACCAGGTACCATTTTTTATCCATTTAAATATGATGGGATGCATTGGCTTTTTCATGTGACTTTTTATTGTTTCCTTGGTTACTATTTCCATAATGATAGTAGTTAACAAGCATGTCAGTATTACAACCAACAGTTGTCCAATAAATACTGGTATGCATTTCAGTTTTAGTAGAGGTATATGTTTCAGTTACTACCCATATAGTTGGGATAAGGCATGGGTGATGATGATGATGATATTTTTCAGTTACTACTTAAAAAACAGAGGATTCAACATATACCCAAAACCCAGGTTGGTTCTGACTTTCTGAGCTTTATCTTACTAACATAGTTTTCATCCTTTTAATGGTCTAGAAGGTAACTCTTATAATTGTTGGCCAACATTTTTATAGACCAAAAAGTATTGTTCACCATCTGCATGAATGTGAACGTCTATTTTTTGGTCTATAATATATAGTTGCTAGAAGCCTAGAACCTATTGAATTTTAGAACATACTGCTCATGTATCCATGTTTTTGCACATTTAGGGATGATGTCTTTCACTATTCGTCATGCAGACCTATAGACTAGAATCATACTTTAAGAAACATTGTTGTCACATAAATTTCTCAACTTTTGGATCACTGTGACTTGAGCGCATATCAAACCAGCCTCCTCTTTTTCCTTCTGTGTTTTTTGTTCAGTGTTTATGTTAGAAACTCATTCTCAAATATACCATGATTTCTCTCTCATTTTCTAGGTGATGTGAAGATATGGCATCCCAGAACCTTATGAGAAACTGAAGGAACTAACCCGAGGAAGGGCAGTAACCAAAGAGAGCATACAAAAATTAATTGAAGGCTTGGAATTGCCAAAGGAAGCAAAGACCAATCTTCTGAAGCTAACTCCACCAACTTACATTGGAGCAGCAATTGATTTGGCAGAAGGTCTAGACACAGCTATAAATTTTGTAAATTGGAGCCAGGTGCTATAGATTGGCAGTTCATTCTGTTGGCAGGCATTGTTGGCTAGATTGCCCGTGTATGTAGTACTCGGGAATTTCTATCTGCTGTTGTGGGAATCAACAGACATGCTTTGGAAAGATGTGAATTTTCCTGGTTGAAGAGAGAATAACTGGGATGTCACACCCATGATAATGTATTCTGGGTTACTGATGACTAACGTGGTAATTTTTGCCTTTCCTATCTTTTGGTTATTTTCTTAAGTTGAAGAAAGACTTCTGAGTATTCAATTCAGAATATAAGGGCAGAAAAAAGAAATATATCCCACTTTTCTCTCGTATTCTCTCGTATCTAACTGAAAAACAAATTTTCATTCAACTATATTGTTGGAACACTTGAATTTGATTTTGACCTACACCCTTTTAGTTTAAAACTATTATACTTGCAAAAATCTTTACTAAATGAATATAATTTGTATTTATATTTGTATACATATTAATTTGCTGCGATGGATCTTAACCAGATCTTGGGGTTTGGTGAATTTAGATCCGAATTGATTAAAGGAATCTATTATTTGAGCCTTGGGGGGTTAAATTCGGATCCCTCCCTTGAGAGCTAGTTGGAGAGTTTTCATTTGCTTACCCCTCATCTGTACTGCGTATTAAGCTCATCTGTGCTTGTTTGTGACTTTGTGTGCGCATGGGGGATTGGGTGGGTTAGGGGGTTTGTTTATGTACTTAGAGCTGTCAACGGGCTGGGTCTATGAGTTCACATCTCCGCCCCATAGGGAGCTGCCCCACAGCACATCCCCGCCATGTACTGGGACCATCTCCCGATGATAGTACCAGTCCTGATGATGCCATCATTGGGAGATGTTCCCAATACACGGCGGATATTTGTTGTGGGGCGTTGTGGGGCGGAGATGTGATCTCTGGGTTCTATCCGATAGATCCAAATCCATTGTCCTGATTGCATTAGTTCTGGTTCTATGGTTTTGTTGGGTTGAGACTGTTCTTGTGGATTAAGACCATAATTGATAATATATAAAAGTCTCCTTATTTTTGTTATGTTTTATGTTTCATGTATAAAAGTATAAAATACGTAGAATATATAACATAATTTTGGTTAAAACACTTATTTTATCAACATATAAGCAGTTGATTTCCTGTGGGAGTTAGCTTCTTGATATGATTGGATCTCTCTTATGATATTTCCCTATATATAGTCCCACGTCAGCAGCCCTCTCTTTCTCCCATTTTCCCTTCTCTCTTCTCTCCTTAAACCTCTATCCTTTTTCCCTTATGGTCAAATTCGGATCTTCAGATCGAATTTGGATCACCCCTATCCGATCCAATGTGTTAATATATATATATGTATATATATGCTATTTATTTATTTATAAATATATTATTTATATTGTATTTTTATAAAAACATGTATATATATGATGAAAATAATTAAAAAATACTTGCATTTTTTGTTTTTTCTTTATTTAAATTGGTATATTTTAATTTTCTTCTAATAATTTATTAATTTTTAAAGAAACAAGTTGAATCAAATCAAATCCGAAGATCTGATAGGATTCGAATTCAGATTAAGTCCTATCAGATCCAATTGGATTTTCGGATCGGACATGAACAATGTCGGGTCAGATTCGAATCCAATCCGATTCATTTGCATCCCTATTCCCATGTAGCCACGTGGTAGCCCTCCCTTCTACACTAGAGTGCCATTCCAAATCTCTCCCACCTAAAATTCTTCATAAAACACCTTTTAATCTATATTGTCACATGGCAGCCATCTCTTCTTCACTAGAATTCCACTCTCTCTCTCTCTCTCTTGTTACCAATTGACTCAACCCCTCCTAAAATTTCTCCTAAACAATCTCTCACATCTAAAATTCCTCCTAAAACACCTCTTAATCTATATTATAAACCATCTAAAAGCCAAAAACGTGGGTAAATTAATTTGGGTAGTTAAATTAATTTGTGAAATATTTTTATACTTTCAATAATTATAGATATTAATGAATATTATTTAATAAATGTCAACACCCAAACTATAATTTTTCGTAATTTTGGTAAATTGAAAATTTTAATTATTAAGAATTACTTGCTGAAAATTACTGATTTTGATAATTTAATTTCAGAAATTTTTGAAAATTAATTATTGAAATCAATAATTACTAAAAAATTAATAATTAATTAAAATATTAATAAATACAAATTTAATAATTGAAAATTACCAGTAATTTTTAGCAATAAGTAGTTATTGATATTTCAGTAATTTTGGTCAATTTATTAATATTTAATGATATTATTAAACAATAATTAAAAATTTTAGTAATTTTTTAGTGGAGAATTAATTTCAACAAATATAATTTTTTTTTATATTTTCAGTAGTTTTGATATTTACTATAATTTTTAGCAATAATTAGTGATTTTTTTAATTTAGTGAAACTTAAATTATAAAACTTCCAATTTTTTTAAATAAATAATTGGAAAATTTTAATAATTTCCATAAGCATTGGATACTAAATTTATTATTACCATAATCAATGGGTGGGTTCGGGGCAGGGATCATATTCTCCATCCCAATCTCGAGTTTTTAATTAATCCCTATCAAAAATTTTAGCCTACATTCCCGGTCCTTGACAGAGAGGGCTTCCCCATCGGGGACATGAATTCCTGAACTTTTTTAATTAAATGTTTGTTTTTAGAAAGGTATTTATTTAAAATAAAGGAAACTTTAAAATGCAAATAATATTTTAAATATATTTTGATAAATAATTTTATAAATATCATAAATAATATTATATATTTAATATAATATATATACACATATATTTAATATATATAATTAGGGTTGGGGTGGGGTGTGGACTTCACTCCCCGTCCCCAATCAAATATTCCTATTAATGCTATGCCCACCCTATCTCCGCTAAAGCAATCTTCCTCCCCTCCCTGCCTGATCGGGGAGGCCGGGTACTTGGCGAGATGAAGAAAATTGTCATCCCTACCCTCGGGTTGTGTAACTCCATAGAACAATAAGTTTTTTAGTCCAATCTTGTGTATCACATGAGAGCCTGCTAGTGTGTATATATATATGTATGTGTGTGTATAAGTTTTAAACCGTTATTATCATAAGCAATTATAAATGTCAAGTATAATCTGATCTAATATGATATTAATAATTGGTTTGGTTTTGAGCCTATCTTATAAAATCGATTAAGATAGGCCCATTGATAGCTCCATGTGTTACTGGAATTGGGATTTACTCCTCGAACAAGCTTCAAATCTACCTCAAGGTACATCCCATTGCTTATTGGTAACATCTTCCCTTGAATAATAATACAAGAATGAGAGATGTTCTTTTGATTTTTGGCTTGAATGTGTTATAAGATTGGTGTGAAGAGATATGAGGAGCACATTTGGACTCATATTGTTCATTGCGATTATCAACTTTACTTAGCCGGGTTATAAACACTTGATCAAAACTTGACCAGTTTGTTAATTGGGCTGATGTTAGCTTGAACCAAGGGAAACAGGCCAGTCCTGGTTGACCATGAAATGGCGGCAACTGGCGAGTTTTTGTTTGTGCAGGTCCAGGGATTTCTCTTTATGGAGTGAAAAAAGAGTCATAAGTAGGGGTGGCAACGAGCCGAGCTCGAACTTATTAGAGTTCGGCTCGTCAGGCTCACGAACCGGCTCGAATATATATATAATAAAAATATTATAATTTTTATTTTTATAAATTTTTTTTTCTCAAAATCAAACTCAAGCCAAGCCGAATTCGAACTCGAGCTCGTAGAATAGTCTCGAACCGAGCTTGAGCTTGTTACTATTCGGCTCGGCTCGGCTCGAACCCATCCCTACTCGTAGGCCAAGGCGGGAAAAAACGACAACGCCAGGGCATTTTAGGTAATTTACCCAAAACCAGTAAGGCACGTATAATAATGATTTTCTTTCCTTTCCTTTTTTATTATCCAGCACCAGCAGACGCCTTCCGCCACTTCACCAATGACCAAACTTCCGACTACTCATGTTTTCTGAGTTTGGCGGTTGGTTCTGCGCAAGACGATGAGTCTTCGACTTTCTTTCGATCAATCAGTTCTTCTTCGTTCGTTGAACTTCCAAAGCCCTAACAGAGGCCGGGAGCAGTTTAGGAATGGTCTGTTATCTTCGCGTTTCTTGGAAAAGGGAGAATGCTTCAAAGTTTTTGGTTCTCGGAGTTCTCCGTTCACTCCGCTTCGAGGAGATGCGCCTGCCCTTCGCTTGCTTTCAACGCGAGCTCGGGTTTCTCGGAACGATGCTCAGTCATTTCCAAGTGGTTCTATCTTCGATGAGAATGAATTGCAAGCGCCGAGTTTCTTCGAGTTCATCACTTCGGAAAGAGTTAAGGTTGTTTTTATGCTTGGATTAGCTTTGGCCCTCTGTAATGCGGATCGAGTTGTAATGTCAGTCGCTATTGTTCCATTATCGCTGGCTCATGGTTGGAGCAGGTCATTTGGTGGCGTTGTTCAAGTAATTTGACTTTCTTTTTTGGCTTATAAATTTCTTTGTTGTTACTTAAATCGTGCAAGGTTTTGTTGGTTCTCAATTTTTGTTTTAGATGAAAAACTTATACCAAATGGAATTGTTTTTTTTTAATGTTTTTGTGACATCTTCTTTTCTACTAAGTATTTTGATATACTTAGGGCGAACTAAGTTTACTGTTGCTATAACAAATACTTACTTATTTATTTTACTAAAATGTTGGCAAGTTACTAATAAAAAATATCTACTTATTTGTTTATTATTTTTTGTAATTAGCAAAGTCATAAAGAAGTAATTCGAAAATGAGTACCAGAAGTAATAAATTGTATTTATGGATTCAATATTCACTTCTGATATATTAATTACCGGCTGCACCTATTTCTTATATCTCATAATATATAATATATGAATAAAAAATGCTTAAAAGATTGGACAAGCGATTTGTAGACAAATTTTAATCCAATTGTTCCAAAATATGGACCTAAACGAGTTCAGGTGTGCATGAGCTATTAGCTTGAGCCAAGCCCGGGCATAGACTTTAGTTTAGGAGCCTGAATCTTGCTGGGCAAAGCTCAGCACGGCTCTTGCCAATTCTAGATATAAATTGCGAATGTTATGATGGGAAACATCTTCTGCTTAAAGCAGTCTTTTACCACTATGGCTTTCCACTTTTGCAGTCTCTTGGTGCTAATGCACGTTTCTTCTTGGAAATTGTCTTTTCCTAGTCATATTTCTCTTTGGTAGCTAGTGCGACTAAATTAAGCAAAAATTGTATGACATATTGACCATTGAAAGGGTTTCTGGATGCATGTAAGGATAGACAGCCACCTTACAAGGCTAGCCAAATTGGTATATGTTGATCAAGCTCCATGGGAATATGTTGAGCATAGTTTCCAAAGTTGTGCCTGCAAATTCATTGGTTACTAATGAACTAGTAGCCAATGTGTGTCATGTTTAACATTTCCATAGTTGCACGTTGGCTTTTCCCTGATTCTTTACCAATTACTAATCGCAGTCATCTTTTCTCTGGGGATACCTAATGTCACCCATAGCTGGAGGGGCGCTGGTGGATTATTATGGTGGCAAGGTAGTTATGGCATGTGGTGTAACTTTATGGTCTCTAGCTACCTTTTTAACTCCTTGGGCTGCAGAAACTTCCCTATGGGCCTTACTTGCCACACGAGTTCTACTTGGCATTGCAGAAGGTGTGGCACTTCCTAGTATGAACAATATGATTTCAAGGTATTGAAATATTTTTAACTCCATCTGATAAAAAATGTTTAGAACTCCCAGTTGAATTTTTAGCAATATAGTCACAGTCCTTGTTATTTTTAGATTTGTGATAGTTTGCTTCAAAAACCTGACCTCTGTTATATTGAATTAAAAAGTTGCCTAGAATTAGATTTTAGAGCTGTTTGAACTGACTTTTCTTTCAGGTGGTTTCCTTTAACAGAACGAGCCCAAGCTGTTGGACTTGCAATGGCTGGATTCCAGCTAGGAAATGTTATTGGACTGACACTTTCTCCTATCCTCATGTCAAAAGGAGGTGTATTTGGCCCTTTTGTGATTTTTGGATTATCTGGGTTTCTTTGGGTTTTAGTATGGATATCTGCAACATCAAGCACACCTGATCACCATCCTCAAATATCAAAATTTGAATTAGAGTACATACTGAATACGAGTAAAAAATCTTCAATGCCTTCCACAGTGAAGAATTCAAAGACGTCCAAACTGATCCCCCCTTTCAAGCGCTTACTTTCAAAGATGCCCACATGGGCCCTCATATCTGCAAATGTGATGCACAGCTGGGTAATGCTTATGCATCTTATTATTACTCATAGAGAAGCCAAGTTATTATTACTTATTTGTGTTTATTTATCTATTTATGTCTAATTCTGTAATTGCTTTGATTCCACACATACAGGGATACTTTGTTATGCTTTCATGGATGCCCATTTACTTTAACACAGTAAGGGTTCAATGTTTCCATCAACTATGATATTTGATGGGTGCAGAGGATGCATGGCTGTAAAGAGAACTAATATTAATTCCCTGAAACAGATTTATCGAGTAGACCTCAGACAAGCCGCATGGTTTAGTGCTGTTCCATGGGTTATGATGGCAGTTCTGGGATACTTTTCTGGTGTCTGGTCGGATATGCTGATTCAGAATGGTAAAAGTGTCACTTTTACACGCAAAGTAATGCAGGTATCTCATCTATCTACTATATTGTTATTTGTGAGGATTAGACAAAATATGATATCTATTAAGTGTGGACAAATTACTAATAACTACATGGTTCTGCTATCTAAAGCCCTGTTTGGTGCGTCTTTCCGCGCAGTCTTTTTCCGTTCGGTGTGTAACAGATCTAGCCGCCAAACTCGGTGCGCTGAAAAGACGCAAGAAGTCCATTTTGGGCTGATTTTGGGAAGCTCCAAATGGAGCTTTTCATGTCTTTCTCGCTTTATTCTCGTACGGAAAGACACGGAAAGACACACAGTAGCCAAACTAGCTTCGGGTTGCTCATATCTTCATTCAAAAGCTCAATGTATGTTTTAACTGTCAGAGCTACCGGAAGATCTTCCCAAAAAGGCATGCCAAACGGCCCCTAATTTGAGGGCAAAATGCACTCCCTAGGGATTATGGGCAAAAGTTGTGAAATGTTTATATTTAAGCTTCTCCATGAGTCAAGTATTTTTTGTATGTTGTAATGCACTGTCTATAATCATAGATCTTTGGAGGAAAATAGGAGTACGAATCCATTTATGAATTTAAAACTTCCTTTTGAAAGGATGGTAGGGGTTTCTTTGTGGAGATATAATGGATGCTCCAGGCTTTTAGGGGTTTTGTGTTCTCTGATTGAGAAGCCAGTCTGTTTCGGGTGCGTCAAGGAATCTGGTAGGGGATTCAGTGTAGAAGGTCTTTGCCTTAT